TTGGGAAAAAAAAAACCTACTTTAAAGTTCATATGGAATCGAAAAAGAGCCTGTATTGCCAAGACAATCCTAAGCCAAAAGAACAAAGCTGGAGGCATTACGCTACCTGACTTCAAACTATACTACAAGGCTACAGTAACCAAAACAGCATGGTACTGGTACCAAAACACAGATATAGACAAATGGAACAGAACAGAGCCCTCAGAAATAATACCATATATCTATAACCATCTGATCTTTGACAAACCTGACAAAAACAAGAAATGGGGAAAGGATTCCCTATTTAATAAATCATGCTGGGAAAACTGGCTAGCCATACGTAGAAAGCTGAAACTGGATCCCTTCCTTACACCTTATACGAAAATTAATTCAAGGTGGATTAGAGACTTAAACGTTAGACCTAAAACCATAAAAACCCTAGAAGAAAACCTAGGCAATACCATTCAGGACATAGGCATGGGCAAGGACTTTGTGTCTAAAACACCAAAGGCAATGGCAACAAAGCCAAAATTGACAAATGGGATCTAATGAAACTAAAGAGCTTCTGCACAGCAAATGAAACTACCATCAGAGTGAACAGGCAACCTACAGAATGGGAGAAAGTTTTTGCAATCTACTCATCTGACAAAGGGCTAATATCCAGAACCTACAGAGAACTCAAACAAATTTACAAGAAAAAAAAAAAAACATCAAAAAGTGGGCAAAGGATATGAACAGACACTTCTCAAAAGAAGACATTTATGCAGCCAACAGACACATGAAAAAATGCTCATCATCACTGGCCATCAGAGAAATGCAAATCAAAATCAAAATGAGATACCATCTCACAGCATTTAGAATGGCAATCATTAAAAAATCAGGAAACAACAGGTGCTGGAGAGGATGTGGAGAAATAGGAACACTTTTACACTGTTGGTGGGATTGTAAACTAGTTCAACCATTGTGGATGACAGTGTGGCGATTCCTCAAGGATCTAGAACTAGAAATACAATTTGACCCAGTCATCCCATTACTGGGTATATACCCAAAGGATTATAAATCATGCTACTATAAAGACACATGCACATGTATGTTTATTGTGGCACTATTCACAATAGCAAAGACTTGGAACCAACCCAAATGTCCATCAATGACAGACTGGATTAAGAAAATGTGGCACATGTACACCACGGAATACTATTCAGCCATAAAAAAGGATGAGTTCATGTCCTTTGTGAGGCTATGAATGAAGCTGGAAACCATCATTCTGAGCAAACTGTTGCAAGGATAGAAAACCAAATACCGCATTGTTCTCACTCATAGGTGGGAATTGAACAATGAGAACACTTGGACACAGGGTGGAGAACATCACACACTGGGGCCTATTGTGCGGTGGGGGAGGGAGGAGGGATAGCATTAGGAGATATACCTAATGTAAATGATGAGTTAACAGGTGCAGCACAGCAACATGGCACATGTATATATATGTAGCAAAGCTGTATGTTGTGCACATGTACCCTAGAACTTAAAGTATAATAAAAAATAAATAAATAAATACAAAAGAAAAATTCCAAAAATAAACAATTCAAAAGTTTTAAATTGCCAGCTGTTCTGAGCAGTACGATGAAATCTTGCACCAACCCACTCCATCCTGCCAGGGACATGAATCATCCTTTTTCTCAGTGTGTCTAGCTGTATCTGCTGCTGGCCCATTAGTCACTTAGTAGCTGTCTTAGTTAACAGATTGAAAAAACATAGTATGTATATAGGGGTTGGTTGGTACTGTCTGTGGCTTCAGGCATCCACTGGGGGTCTTGGACCATATCCTATGCAGCTAAGGGAGGGATCACTGTACACAGAAAAGCCCCCACAAGAAAGAATTATTCTGCCCAACATGTTAATAGTGCCAAGGTTGGGAAACCATGCTCTTTAGATGAACAATTATTAAGAGAATTTCACTAAAAGTCAACAAGAAATAGGTAGAAGAAGTTTCCAGCAGATATATAGCCTGCCCCTCAAGCTTAAATAGTATAAATGTGTAGTCAATCTAATTGGTTTTTTTTTTTTAAAGTTTTTTAGTTACATTAAGGAGAGAGAGCTTATATAAATAAATAGTATGGTTCATTTTGAGGAGCTTTGCAAATATTTGCCATGGGTCAATCACTAAAGGTGTTAATATCTTACATTTACTTTCTTAAACTAACCTTTGAGGTAGGTAACTTTTTTTCTAGTTTTCCAGATGAAGAAACAGAAACACAGAGAGGTAAAGTAAAATCACACAGCCAGTAAGGGGTAGAGCCAGGATTCCAACTGAAGCAGTTGGACAAGAGTACCTGTATTATTATTAGGATGCCATGCTGCCTTTAAGGGACCTCTAAAAGTTGCTTCTATTTCTCATTTTGACAGTCTTCAAATGACCTTCCCATTTTGGAGTGTTGTGTCCCAGCAGAGGCTTTTTTTTTTTTTTTTTTTTTTTTTTTGACAGTCTTGTACTGCACATATCTCCTCCCCTTTACACGCAATGTCCAGTCTTGATTTCAATAATCTATATCCTTGATGCTAAGGAGTAGGGAGATGATCAAGCTTTCCTTAAAGAAAAACTAACTACAGTACCCGATCTATGACCTCTGAGACAACTAGTTTTAATGAAGATCAGCAATCTAACCACTTAGAAATTCTGCAGATGGCCAGCCTGTTTTATGAACCAACGTATTACCCATGTACCTTTCTGAGATGGCAGAATAAGTGAATGCCTCTGAGCACTATTCGTTTTATCCATAAAGGCCTTTTTGACTTCTGATCCCTGATTATGTGCTCTGCTCAGCCTAGGTTTGGAATTATCAACCTCCTAGGATTGAGTTTATCAGGACTTTGCAGAGGTGCTGCTAAGGCACTACCTTTCATGTGCATCAATGCAAGAACTCTGGGAATCCTGATGACTGGGAGTCCTGATGACTGGCCCATGATTCATGCTGTCATGAGAAATGCCTGAGAAACATAGGGAATTAGACACCTTAATTCATCCACAGAACCTGCATGACTTCTGACCCAACTCTGGCACCCGACAGCAGGAGGGCCGTAGGCTAGCAATCTCTTGTCTGTGTGGTAGCTGGCCAAGGTAAAGCTGCTAGAATGGGAAATGGAGAAGCAAACCACTGACCTAAAGGACATTAAGATGAGAAGCAACGGGGAGAGTGCCAACGGACCAGGCTGCCCTGCAGAAAGAGCTTGCACCCTTGCTCTGGTCTCCTCGTTCCTCTCTTCAGCCTCTGGCAGCTCTGCCTCTAGGGTCCAGGGACTCACAGAAGTCCCCAGGGCTTTCATCTCCCAGCTCCCTCCTTTCTCTCCAATTCTTCTCATAGGTCCTTTATCTGCGGCTTATGTTCCCTGGTCCCCAGTGGCCTTGTGCTCTGCTCCATCTTAGATGCCTTAGGTTCAATCTGCATCCACCAAGTTACCTGTTTCCTTGGATATTCACTCTCGGAAAGTCTTTCTTGATTACATGTGGACACAAGAGAAAGACAGGATCAGGACTGGAGAACATCTTTTATTCTGATTATGAAAGTATTTGGTTTTATTTATTTATTTTTTCCTGATCTTGAGTCTGGTTCTTGCTTAAGTATGTAATTGATAGAGTTTATTCCTCAAATCGCTTTTTATATTTCCCCAGTAATTTGAAGCTAATGATTTCCATCACTTTACAGTAAAATCAAGGTTTTTGACATTAGCAGCTTCGGGAGATGCTCACTGAGTAACAGATATTTGGGATTTTGAGGCTAGAGCACTATGGGGGAATTACATATCATCCAGGGCACATGGTCCAATTTACTGGTCTTACATCCCTTACCATCAGAAGAGTCTTGCTTTGTCTTACTTAAATGCACCATCCTCCTGGGCTGTCCATTCCATGAGGAATACAGATGTTCATCACAGCCCCCTCTGGAGACTCTCTCACAACCCTTTAAAATAGGCCCTATCCCACCCTTCTCATACTGCAGTAAGGGGACCTGGGATGGGGAGTAAAATTTATTATACCTTCTTATAGATGAAAAAACTGATGCCAAAGGGGAGAAGGGGCTGTATTAGAGTTATGAACTTGAGAGAAAGGGCCAAGAATAGAGCCCAGATGCTCTGATCCCCAAACCATTGTAGCTCCTTGTTGGAGAGCCTCCATTTTGGAGGCTCCAATGAGAACCTCCATGTTGGTCTCTTGACCATTGTCAAATGTCATTCCCTCTCTGCAACCTATCTGCTCTGGTATCTCCATCAGTGAAGCTGGTGTTAGCTAGCAGGTTTAGTTTGAGTCTTTGATTCCAACTACTTGCTATCAGCCCTACCTACACCCCTCTCTTAACCAAGAGACCAGCTTTCACTCAGCATCTCACGTTGGTTGATTTCTGAGAAGGATGTGGTACTCCTGTCTGAAGCTGTCCTGTATCCTGATTTCCTACCAGGATGATCAAAATTGATTTCTTGCCAGGAGCTAAAGAAGGATAATCCAGCCAGGGCTCCTCTGGGGCAGAAGACAGAGTTCCCACAGGACCACTATCCTCTTTTTAAAGATTATTTGGGGCCAGGCATGGTGGCTTATGCCTGTAATCCCAGCACTTTGGGAGGCTGAGGTGGACGGATTGCCTGAGGCCAGGAGTTCAAGACTAGCTTGGCTAACATGGCAAAATCCCATCGCTACTAAAAATAGAAAAATTAGCTGGGTGTGGTGACACACATCTGTAATCCTAGCTACTCCAGAGGCTGAGGCACGAGAATCACTTGAAACCGGGATGGGGAGGTGCAGTGAGCCAAGAGTGTGCCACTGCACTCCAGCCTGGGCGACAGAGGGAGAATCAATCTCAAAAAAAAAAAAAAAAAAAAAAGATTATTTGGACTTTGGAACTAGTGATCTGCTCAAACAGAGACTTTTAGACTAATGAAGTGATGAAGGGTAGAATGTCTGATGCACTTTGTTCCTTCTATGAGCTCCTTAAGGAGAAGAAAAATACACAGAAGTCTATCTGACTCACTGCTTCAGCAACCTGGAGAAGAGGTGTCATCTGCCATGTCAGTCTCTCATCTGGCTATCATGCTAGGCTTCTTGGAACACTTCTGACCCCAAACAGGACCTAGAACAATGGATGCACATGGAAAGTGCCCAATAAATATTCTTCAAGTTTAATGAAAAGTAGTTTTAGCATTCTACAATATCTCTGTGGTATTCAGAGAACTCTAGCTCCGGTGTAGAGGCTAAAAGACACAGAAAAGGAACTGAAATGAGTTTGGCACTGAGACAGAGTAAAGAAGTGTTTATAGCCTGGTGTGGTGGCACACGCCTGTAGTCCCAGCTACCGGGGAGGCTGAGGCAGGAGAATCATTTGAACCTGGGAGGCAGAGGTTGCAGTGAGCCAAGATCGCACCACTGCACTCTAGCCTGGGCAACAGTGCAAGACTCCATTTCAAAAAAATAAATAAATAAATAAGTGTCTAAAACATGAGCTAGAGATCATGTCTTCCTGTAAAATCCGATTCTCCACATGTAATGACGCAGGAGCTAATGTTGGCAGACAGAAGAGAATGAAAACTTATTTCTAAGACTCTCAAATCACTGGAAGTGCTCCATCTCTATGATCCAAGGAACACCCAGGCCTATTTCTGACGAAGAGAAAAAAGGAAATAAAAATTCTTGCTCAGGAAACTAAAAAATTTTTGCAGAGCTGAAGAACTTGCTGTTTCATAGCTTTAGCTAAACACGTCTAGGCTTGATTATCAAATATTAGAATTGGGAGAAACAAGCACTGATGCAAGTAAAAGAATATTCTGCTGCTGATTTAAAGACAAGTGAATCGCTAAATATTTTTATTAGCAGCAAATTTGCTGCTTGCTGGAACTAATTTCACGCCCTGTAGATATGGTGCTTAAGTTGGAAATGGCGTTAAATTGCTCTCTCCTTGAGGCGGGTAGGATTTCTGGTGGCAGCAGCCACTAGATGGCACCAACAAGGTAGCTCCTCAAAGATAGGCAGGTTTGGAGCCAATGATAGGAAAGTCCAGAGGAAGTCCTGCCTTACATTTCCCTTTCTCCTTCCGAAGAAATGCCCGTGCTCCAGATATCCAAACCTTTCAGAAAGGAAGTTGCCTAGAAAGGAACAATCCTCCTAAGGGTCTTGAATTTCCCAGTTCAGTCTTTCTCTAAGCTCGTATAACACTTTTAGTTAGCAAGTCCAGTTTGGCAATCAGTTAGAACTTATACTTTCTTGCATGTTAGCACTATCTCTTCAACCACACCACAGCTTCTAGAAAGGACAGGTTACATTTTATTGCCAGTACTGGAGCCCAGGTGAGTAAACAGTGTGTCCAACTTGCAGCCAAGGAGCTAGACTAGAAGAACTGAGGCAGAGACAGCAACACAAAGGATGAGACCAGGTTAGATCCAAGGCAGGACAGAATGCAGAGGTCACAGCAGAATTGGGCAACTGAAATCAGGTGGGAATTCCAAAGCAGAGGCAAGTCCAGGACTGAGGTCAAGGAATTGCCGTGGCTCTGAATCCTGTAGGTAAGCCAAAGTCAGAGGACACGTTAAATAATAAAGGTCAGAGCAAGCTGTGGGCGGACAAATAAACCAAGGGAATGCAGAACCCAGATGCCTAAGGGAAAAATAAAGCCAAGAGGCCAATAGGTCAAAGTGAAAGTCAGGAAAAACACAATAGCAGGGCAAAACACACACAAAAAAGGTTGACGTACTCATTAATCAGATGTTTAGTGGTCAATTCATGCTAGAACCAAAGTGGGTTCACTAAGAATAAGTTTTGCTATGTTGAACTTATTTCCTTGTGCAATAGAGTTGTGAAGTTGATAAATCTGATCATGTTGCTTACTCTCCTGCTTAAATACTTCTGACTTAGCTAAACCCTTCACCTACAGGATAAAGTCAAAATTCCTTATCTTAGCATTCAAGACCCTTCACACACTTTCTCATCTCTTGACACACATTTCCCTGAACCTGGTACTTAACTCACACTAGAATATTTGCTGTTTCTGAACCATACTGAAGACATTCATTCCTCCATGCTTTGCTTCTCCTATTTCTCCACTCTGGAATTTCTTCCTATCTCCATTCTCTACTTATCTCATGAAAACCCTATGTATTTTCTTTTCTTTCCTTTTTTTTTTTTTTTTTTTTTTTCCTGAGACAGGGTCTCACTCTGTCACCCAGGCTGGAGTGCAGTGGCGTGATCTCAGCTCACTGCAAACTCTGCCTCCTGGGTTCAAGCGATTAGCATGCCTCAGCCTCCGAGTAGCTAGGATTATAGGAACATGCCACCATACCTGGCTCATTTTTTTGTGTTTCTAGCAGAGACAGGGTTTCACTATGTTGGCCAGACTGGTCTTGAACTCTTGACCTCAAATGATCCACCACCTCCCAAAGTGCTGGGATTACAGTCATGAGCCACAATGCCCAGCCTAAAAAACTCTGTATTTTCAAGGCTCAGTCAAATGTCACTTTGTGTGTGTGTGTGTGTGAAGCCCTCCTTTCTCTTTCTTCACCATGAAGAATTAATCTCCTCTTTCTCTAGGTTTTCAATATACTTTGTTTATACTGCTACTGTATAATGTAATACATATGAGATGTTACATTATCTATTATGTTGTATATTTATATCTATCATATATATCTATGCCTTTAATGCAAATTAGAGGTAACACATACATTAACTATACCTATATTAATTTGAATCTGGTGTATATATGTCTGTCACCTCTGCTAGATGTCACCTCTTAAAGACAAAACTAGTATCTTTGTCATTTTTGTTTCTACAACACCTAACAAAGAATCTAGAAGATAGGAGGTCAACCAATATATGTTTATTGATGTGAATGAGAGGAAATACCAAATACAGTGTAACTTCATTTAAACAGAATATTTAATAAATCTCTCAGGATTTCAACAGACTGTTTACTAAATCTTCAACATTATGAATAATGTTATACAGTGGGTCATTAGGAAAATTGAAGCTGCCTGAACACATACTCATACTGGAAGGAGGTCTCCAATGCTACCAAGTTCTATCCAAGGCAACATTTTTATTAGTGACTTGTATTAAAACATACAAAGAATTTTTATCAGATGTGAAAGGAGACATACTGATATCATAGGAAACAAAAATGAGACTTTAAAAATGAATCTAACTGGCTCACATGTTGGGCTCCAACTGACAAGGTAAAACAAGGTAAAATTTAAGTAAGTGTAAAGGCCTATATGTAAATTTTAAAAATAAATTGCACATACCAAGTATGGTGGAGATTTGACACAGCAGCAATTAATGTGCAGAAGAGTTAGAAGTTTTGGTTAATCAAAAGCTTTAAAAGCAGTGAGATGTGACCAGTAACAATCTAAGGACATTGAAATCACTAATGGTCATAGGCGTCCAGCGCAGAAGAAGCATCCTAGTAGCATCACTGCACTTCACGCCTTTCAGGGCTGATTTAAAGGATTATGAGTCATTCTAGCACAAGATTCTAAAAGATACACTGATAAGTCACAGTTCCTCCAGAAAACTGTGAGCAGACTGGTAAAGGAGTCTAGAAACAATGAAATAGACAAAGAATGAGGGAGCTCTGTGGAAACCTGGACACTTGAAAAACTGAAAACTAAGGGAAAGTTTGAGAGACATCTTCAGGTGTTTTTAAATGGCCTTTTATGTGTTGCTACAAATGGTAAAACTAGACAGGATGAATAGGAATTGTGAGGAGACAGAGTTTGGCTCAGTGTAAGAAAGAACTTTCTAAAATTTCTGGTCATCCAACAGGGAAGTGGGCAGATTTGGGAGGTTGGGAGCTCCCCAACCTTGAACATGCTCAAGCAGAGGCCAAAGACTAGATAAGAGATTCATGGAAAAATAGTCTTTTTATTGTTTTGTTTTGTTTTATGAAGCATAAATACCTTCCTTTGTAAAATCTTTTAGTGGTTCAACAGAATCTGCAAGATAATGTCTAAATTCCTTACCATGTTATTCAAGCTGTTGTGATCTAGATCCCAATGACCTCCTTCCTGGTCATCTGCCTCTACTCCCTCCTCTGCTTTCGGCTCCAGTATGTCCCATACCAAACACATTCCACTCTGCTTGCCCAGCACCTGTTCTGCCATGCTCTCTCACGCCACTCAGTATTGTGCCTGGAACCTTTTCCCGCTCGCTCACTTTGGCTAATCTGCATTCATCCAGAGAGGCTGTGTCACCTTAGAAATGTCACCTTGGAAGCCATCCCCAAGCCCTCTAGTTTCCTCCTGTGTACCTAGGAAGCACCCTCAATTTGCTACCTCTTGGTTTTTGTTGTTTGCGTCACACAGTGGAATGTGAACAATGTGAAGAAAGGGGCTGTGTCTTATCTCCCTATCCCCCATTTCTAGAATCTGCCTGATGGATGGGAGAATGCTCAGCTTTTGAAGTGAATTGCATCAGGCCTTTATTCCTTAGGTCAAAACATGACCAAGGGGTCACGCAGAATCTGGAGTCTACCCAGTGGGCAATGACCTTCAGAAATAGAGGGTGTGGGAAATCTTGACCAGTTGAAGGCATGGCGATCCCTCTCAACCATGTACCACCTAAAGGACTGCACACTGGGCTTCCTTTTTTCTTTAGGGGCTTTGGCTTCATTCTCTTCATTGCTCAAGTCTCCTGCCTTTTGTCACTCCCCTCCTTTCTTCTCCCTGTCCCCTGCCTACATGTTGGCTAATGCCCCCTGACTGTCTCAACCTGGGGGCTTCACTGGCTATGTAATCAAAGCAGTGAGTCCATGTATCATCATTTATTAATTTAAATCACATCTACTGCCTTCAAGGCCTCTGAGTTTTTGTAGCAAACTCATAATGTCAATATTTTCCATTGAGAATTGTTTGGCATGGTGCCACAGAGGTTAGCAAAGCAGGGTTCTGGGGCAGAAAGTCCCAGAACTGAAATCTTCAAGGCTTCTTCTCCTCCTTATGGACAGTGTCCCCCAGCGCCCCCCCCCCAAAAAAAAAGAAAAGAAAGGAAAAAAAGTGGAATATTTGTGAGACTACACTTCCAAGCTGGGCCACACCTAGGAATTTGTGAGCTTCTGAGAATATTCTATTCCTAATCCTGATTTAG